CACTTGCTATTTGGAAGACACCCGGTTCAAGCTAGACGTCCCTCAGAATATACATCGAAGTTGAAAAGAGTCTGGCTGATCATTTTCCACCGGAAACTCGGGGGTTTGTTCCACCAAGCGTTTGTTGGTGCATTTTCTTCGACCTCGCCGGGGGCCCGTGAGGCGCCGGGCGCCGGGGGCATCCGTGCACGGTCCAACCGATCGCTGAGGTTTGGACCGTTGGATCCCAGTCGTTTGATCAAGGAGCTGAGCAGCAGTAAGGAGGCTTTGGAGAAGCGCTTGGAAGGCTTAGCGAACCAAGAGCTCCAAGAGGAGAGGGGCAGATGGACGGTGGATGGGGCTCGTGTGCTTAGGAGAACTTATGAGTGTTTGGGCACTGAAGCTCAAGTCGGGAGTTCAAAAACCGGGCTCGCGTGAGCCTAGGATGGAGTTGTTTTGAGAGTTGATCAAGCGAGCTGAGCCCGGTTTCGCCCTCGTCCGGTAAGCATGGCGATGCCACTATTGCTTTCCATATGTTGAGGATTTTCCAGCATCACTTTAAGTACGTGGGAAGAAACACGTCTCGCAATTGCCTTGAGTCGACAATTGCCTGAGACTTAAGAAATCAATCATTTTTCAATCCCGAGAAACCACGACCAACTTGGCACGGGACCATCGTGCAGGAAGTCTTGGCTCTTCAAGACTGGCGAGAGAAGGCGGACATTTGCTGGAATGGGCCAAGTCTAATCTGGTGCAAGTCGAATCTGGAGTGGCACTCCTTCCTTCTTCGAATAGCATTGCTATCATTTCGAGTCCAAGCAGCCGAACATCGCACTCCTTCAGTTTTGCTCTTTGGTACACAACTCATCTCCCTGACCATTTCTTTTCATCCCTAAAGCCCACACACCGGCCACCGTTTGGGGTGTTCCAGGCCATGGGCCGTCTCAAAACCCTCGAGAAGCGTGCAGCCTGGGCCTTTCTGGGTGTCGCCGGCGAAGGCGTCGCCAGCCAGGCGCGCGTGGGGGTGTCTGGGTTTGGTGTTCTGATGTGTTCGGTGTGTGTTTGGGATATTTTTTGTATATATTATGCACTGTACACTTGTGGGGCCCCAATTCATGAAGTGACAGTCCAGAAACCATGGTGGTTTAAGCTCAAGGATGGTTTTGATCCGAGGGCGCCGACCAAGTTGGAAGGTCGAAGATCCGCTGCTTTCGGATCAACCCCTTCACCAGCACGTCACCACCGGTTCCCCCCCACCGGTCCCCCGGTCGAGCCACGAGTTCGAAGTCCGTGGGCTCGGAAAGGCGGAGATCAAGAAGGCCTTCAAGCGGAGGGCTCTGGAGCTGCATCCCGACAAAGGCGGCGATGCGGATCGTTTCCGACTGCTCCAGGACGGAGTTGAGGGTCGATGTCTTGTGCCTCGGTCTGGGAGAGGGATCAACGGTGCTTTCTTGGCTGCTTTCTTGGGTGGTTTGATGTGATCAAGAACTGGGAAAGCTTGAAAAACTCCATCTGGTGGCGCTCCAAAGTGAGGTTGCAAGGATGGGTCCACAAGTACTTCTTTGGACAACTCTTGAGAGACAGATGCTCATGGTCTTAGAGATTGCCAAAATCGCGACACGATCTGTACAACACATGTACGATCTCAGCTAGGTTGTTTCCCAACCAATGCAAGTGGATGAGCACCAATACATTTTCTGTTTTCGTGGATTTTTGGATCTTTGTGGGGCTCCGCCGGGCTCAGTTTGCTTCGATTAAAACAACTGTGATCTATACCTCAATACAAATAGACTGTCGATGAAGAGTGAGATAGTACAGACTTTTTTTATGACTCGTGAAAGCTTGGAATGTTTCTTCACAGAATTCTGGTGACCTTAGGAGATGAGGGACTTGTTGGTCGAGCCCAAAAGCCACGCCTTGGAAGGCGGCAAGGTGCGGAGTGGTTTCAAGGGTTCGGGCGAGGAGGGGAGGAACGGAGAGGATCGGAGTGGTGACGCAATTCTTGGCTTCCCACCTTGCAGAAGAGTGCTTCAGCTAGTATTGTCAGTATTGTTTATACAACTGGTGGGCCACCTTTCGGGCAATCAGGGGAGGGTTGCTTCGCCAAAGACCGATCAAGCAGTGACAGAAGAGCATTGTCAGTTCAATACAATCTGGTAGGGCCTGGTAGGGTGCGCTAGTGGAAGAAGTTTTTCTATCATCGACTCATGGTCGAGATAACGATGCGAAGGATGAGGAAGCTGATCGAGTTTCCACTCGCAGCAGACGGACCTGCAAGGAGGCCAGAAAGGATAAAGAAGGAAAGAAGGATGAGAAGAAGGACAATGAGGACGAGGAGGCAGATGAGGAGGAAGAGGAGTTCTCAGATGACAGCTGGGATGCGGATGAAGAGTTCCGGAAGATGTTTCCGAAGCGGAAGCGGCTTGGCGAAGCCTTTAAACCAAGAGCTCTGGCATGCTGGACATCCAGTAGACATCAGAATAGCATGTGCCAAGAGAATACCTCAACTCATCAGATACAAACATGAGAGTGAGCACAGAATAAATTCCTTGTTTCACACTGTGACTTCTTGTAGTTTGGGAGCAGATGCAAGTTATTTTTTTTCCCACATCTTCCTTCAATCGGGAAGATGTTGTTAGACACTGGATCCCTCAGGGCTTGATAAAGCCCTCAAGCCCAGAGGTCGTCTCTGAGGTGGTAAGCTCAGATGGCCTTCCGAAGGCCCTGAACAGAGCTGAGCTGAGCTCCAGCAAATCTTCAAGTGGACAATCTTCAGGATGTAGATTGAGCTTAGGAAGAAGAAGAAACAGCCCGAAGAGGCGGAGGCCGAAGTGTTGAAGGAACAGGACTGAAGGTGTTCTTCTGGGCGGTGTTGGGTGTGGTGAAGAGAGCACCTTGGGTGCGGTTTCAGGTTCAGAGCCCTTTCAAAAAGCTGGTGTTGAAGTGGCGCAAGCTTGTCCTTCACTTGAATTTCTGACTGGCAAAACCATGAAATCCAACCAGTTTCTATGGGTTTGCCTTAAGGGACGGGATGATGGCTTTTTTTGGGCGAATCTCCTCCCTGAGAAATTGGTACTCGCCATGGGCGTTCCCCCCCGAACAAGCAGATGCCGAGGACTTCCACCGAGGGAAGTTTGAGGCGCAAAGGCGCAAGCTCCAGCGTCAGTTGCGGGAGATGTGGATCCTTAGCCGCACAAACTAGAGAAAATTGGGCCGGAAGAGAGTTGATTTGGGGAGAGCTCATCACTTGACCACGTTTTTCTACGTTTTTCGAGGTGGTTGAAATATGACTGTTTTTGTTGTTCTTGCAATCTTGCCTCGTTTGTATGTCGGATGGCCATACTTAGCGAACTAGCAAATGCCAAACTTAGCAAGACTCACAAGAATCCTCCTTTGAATGCATCTCTTTTGTTGGATTTCGTGCCTTCATTTGGGGCGGTGAGACCTTTCCATTCGAAGATCGAGCTCAGGATGCGGGCCTGCCGACTCTCCGAGGAAATCCAAAGGCTCCGACTCGAAGCGGTAGGATGGGTCGTTCCACCTGGTAGGTCAATTCGTCGACCAAAATTGGTGTGATATGGTGGGATGACCCACAGTCTTAGCTAATTACATCATGCTACATCTGCGAGTTGGTGTTCCACAGAAAGCTCCCCAAGTCGGTCTCTTCGAGGATTTTTCCATGCGTTTGAGGTCAGGAAAACGACCGTTCAGTCTCTTTGGCCTTTCGGTGCCTGGTGACCCTCACCGAAAACCCACCGCTCTCTCCGCTCGAACCGCTGAGCCCCCACTGCCACCGGCAGGAGCCAAACGCAGAGCGGCGCGGGCGACGCCCTGCGGCAGCTGCGGAAGTTCGTCGACCGCTTCGCCGTGACGGAGGTGCAAAAGCTGCGCACGGACGACCCCAAGAAGGCCACCGGTGGTGAACGGAAGCGGAGCGGAAGAAGAAGCGGGGTGTGGAAGAAGATGTGGAAGAAGATGTGGAGAAAAGGCCGGTCAAAAGAGAGTGGATGAATCCTGGTGCATTTCTGCAAATTTCTGCTAGGCTCCTAGTTAATTGGCGCCCCATGATGTTGGTTTGAGCTGAAACAAACAGTTTGGAGCTGGAAATTCCAAGCTTCGAAGCGATTCGAAGCCCCATTCTCTCATCACTGACCCATCCCGTGAGCTCATCACCTCCTCATCCACTCCATCCTCTCCACCCCGCGGGAAAGCCACCCCTTCTCACATCTTCCACCTTGCGCGCTCCGTTGCACACGCTCCGGTGCCCAGGCGCAACGAATCTTCCGGCGCTTCTTGGAGCAGGGCGCGGAGGTCCTCTGCGCCGCCGGCGCCTTGGACCCCGCGGCCGCCGTGTCCGTGGTCGCCATGCAGGCCGTCCCGGTGCGGTTCGCGAGTCGACGTGGCGGTGGCGGGGGGGCAGGTTTGTGTTTTATGTTTTACTTTTTTGTTTCTCAATTTTGGAACATTGGAATTCGACGGATGAGATGGGTGATTCGGACTTAATGAAGGATGAATTCGAGGCCGGGCTCCGCGAGGAAGAGGGATGAGACGGGTAGGCCTCTAAATCGTCGGTCCTGGTAGTGGACCTGTTCGGCCTCGTCAACATGTAATGACTTCGGCAAGCAGAATCACCTTGGAGTTCAGGGAATCGATGGTGTCGGGAACTACTCCGGAGCACTTCAACAACTGACCCAGTTGGCAGTACGGATGACACGTCTTTGGTGACGACCTACAGGACCTATACAGTCTATAGGGTCTATATATTGCTAGAGCTTATAGCAAACGCAGCTCATACAAAAGGAGGCAAGCCTTGCAGGGTCCCCCGATTCTATGTCTGACGATCCTCACTCGGTCAGCCAGGTGAACTGCCCACTATTGCAGGCTACCGAAGAGGATGGTGTGCTACAGAGGAAGTGCCAAGCACTACTGGAGGCGATCCAGGAACTTCCATCCATTGGAGAGCAGGTGGGGTCAGGGGTCCGGCGAACTTTCGGCCGACAACGCCGGCGACGAGTGAAGGACCGGTTCTGAACTTACAACGAGGTCGCGACAAGCATTGCACCTGTTCCTAGTAGCTTCTTGTTTCTAATAGCTTCTTGTTACTACTAGTAAGGCACCTGTTACTAGTAGCGATGCACTTGTTCCTATATATATATATTGTCATAGATGTGTGACTTCTGGGACATCCTGGTGCTTTTTGGGTTGGTGAAGAATTTGGCTCAGGGGGTTCAAAACGAAAGGCCTTCGACTCAGGAGCAATGGTAAGCTGGACAGCAATGAAAGCCCGTTTCCTCAAGTAATAATAGGGCATCTTCCAGTTCAATGCGACAGAATTGGTGATGTTGCTCTTGCTGTGAGATACATGGGCAAGCTTTCATTCAAGAAACTCTCAGATGTCCGTATGCCCCATCAGCTCTGGTGCGAATAATTACCTACTGAACCCTCAGATCTTGGGATTTGTTCCGTGCGTCAACTTGACGAATTCTCGACTAGACCCCTCTTCCGTCCTCTTTTTTCCACCCGTCCCATCTGTCCCCTCATCTGTCCCATCAATTCCGTCCAGGTGGGGTCGATTCCCACCGACGAGGGCCTGGCCTTCGAGCTCCTCCTCCCCGACGACGACGCGGTCGGACGCGACGCGGGGCAGCGCACCGCGCGGCGGGTGCTGCTGCAGCTGCCGACGGACGCCACACTGGGGTGCCTCAGAGCGGCGGCCCAGCACTGCGGAGGTGCAGTTGGACCTGACATGGGGCATTGAAGTACATACACCTTACATCAACTCAATACACCGACACAAAGGTATCAATCGCATCCTTTGTGTGGCCTTGTTGCAGAGTCCAAAAGCACCGAGCAACTGGGCGCGAGATCGGCTGTGATCACAAAGCCACGGCCAGGTTTCGACCGCGTGCCACGGCTCTTCGCGAAGGGTCGCTTCGTGGCGGGCGCGGACAGCGTGCCGCTGAGCGCTTTGCAGTTGGGCTCCTTGCAGTGCCTCCCGAGCAACCTCACTCGACGGTCGCAGGTGCGGCGCATATCGCGCGGCGCATATCGCGCGGGGCTGCATGGAAGGGAGGACCCGTCGAATGCGGAGGTGGGTTGTGGGGACATGTTGGGTGAGTATGGGGTTAGAATCAAAAGAGGGACCTTGGTTGTTGCACTGTAGTTTTGGGTTCTCATGGCCACGAAGAACGTACTTGTCTTGAGCCAAGAGAGACAAAGAAACCACTGATTGGTGATAGAGTTTCCATTGGGCTTCCGCCATTTCCCACCGAGCAGCTTGCATCACTTTTGGTCTAGGCCACGAGCCCAGGCGCCCAAACCGAAGCCAACAGCACCAGCACCCACGGTGCCAGCAAGTGCAGCCACCCCGGTGGCGCCGGTGGCACCGGTGGCGGTGTCAGTGGAGACGCTGAAGCGCGTGGAGCCGATGGTGGCGAGGGATGAGCAAGCAGAGCCGGCGGAGCAGCCAATCGCAGGTGCTTTTGGGATGTTTTGGGAAGATTTGGAATTGTTGGGTGTTGGATTGCGTGAAATAGGATGAAATGTGTCGAGTCCTCATTCTAACTTTCAAATCTTGTTTTGTGTTTCACTAGAACGGCTGTGGAGCAAGAAGCTTCAGGGAGTGGAGAGTTCAGCAGATTGGTGTTTCGAGAAGATAAACATAGATAAGCCATGAACAGGATCTAGCCATCTAGTCTAGATGAGTCCAGATGAGTCCAGATGAGCCTAGATGGATGCCTTTGAAAGGGAGAGGTCGGATCCTTTCGATGACCCAGTTCGACCGGTTCCACAGAACGTGGGCCTCTGCTCCGTATACGGGGTCTCAGAGATGCAGAGAAGCAAGAATTGGTGGATGCGAATCACCTCAATGACTCGAACTTTGTCAGGCAAGCCTGTTGAGCCTGAGAATGACGAAAACAAGGAGAACGACGACGCCTGGTTCGACGACTTCTTCGCGGAGAAGAAAGAGAAGCGCGAAGCCCATCAAAAGGCGCAGGAACAGGGCAAGAACGCCATGCAAGCGCGATTGAAGGCCCGTGGGAGACTGGAGGATTTTTATGCAAGCATTAGGGAATTAGGGAGGGTCTTCTTTGGAGGTAGTGGATTGGCAAAAGCTGGTCCAGGAATTGCGTTTGTTCACCACTGCTACCGCTCTGCCAGTACCATCAAGTGTACTGTAGATGTACAGCATGAACTCTTCAGGAGAGGATTGATTGGGTGGCTGTAAACTCTTTGACACCCTGAGTCATTAGAGTTGGACACAGCATCATTTCATGCTTCCAACTGTTTGGTCTTTTCAAAGAAGGGCACGGGACCTGGTTGGGAAACAAAAAAACACTCCTAACTCCTAACTCCTAACAATGCCGGTGGACCTCCAGCTTGTGGCACACCTCCATATGACTTCTGGAACGCAGTGCCACACACACACACACTTTTCTCAGGCGGCCAAGCCATTGGTGCCCTGATCTTGGGTTTGTTTGCTTGCTCATGTGGGTAGGTACGGGTAGGTAGGCCTCTATCCATGTATTCTCAAGAGCGAGTACTTCAAAAGAAGAGGGTTTGGTTCCAAAACAGAGTACCCTACCCAAACTCTTGTAGAGTTTTCCTAGCTCTTCCCTTGATCGTGGCAGGCCCAACTGATGGTCCAAAAACGGATTCAACCAGATCTTCCGGTTGATCACCAATTGGGAAGGTTCCTTTCCTGACCAAAGATCGGCCGGACGTCACCCACCATGTTCACCCGACGGTCGTCCACCAGTTGCCGCGTGGTTGAGCGACCCGTGGTTTGGACATGTTTGGACCCACAGGAGACCCACAGCCATCTCATCTGAAAAATCTTTTAAAGCTTAAGCCCTTGGTTGTTGTTGTTAGTTGAGCCGTCTCTTCCCTACAGCCATCTCATCTCGTGTCGGAATTGCTGAACTGTCTCGGCTTCGCGTTGCCTCGCGTTGCCTCGCGTTGCTTCGCGTTGCTTCGCGTTGCTTCGCGTGTCGGACCCTTCGCCAGGCGCAGAAGCAGGCGCTCGAGGCCAAGAAGCGCCAAGACGCCGAGCGCCACGGCTCTCGGCCCAAAGCCGTGACGCCGAGTCCCAAAGCCGTGACGCCGAGTGCCAGACCGGAGGCGAAAAAGCCAGAGCCAGAGACACGAGGCGAGGAGTCGCACAGTTCGTTGGTGAATCTTTTGGGTGTTCCTTTTTGGAACAGAAACAAAGTCATTACTGTAGTTCTATCGGGGGTAATAACGCTCGGTCGGTAGAAGGCGGATGATCTTCGCGTCGTGTCTACGTAACTTGAAGACATCGTGTAGTTGATGCACTTTATCAAAGTGCGCGATGGGCTGGGGTAATGTAACGCTCGTATCTAATGTCTTCCCCTAGAAGTCCAAAGACTATATTTTGACCGGCTGAAGTAAAGGAAGTTCCCTTTCAGGTCCCCTAAAGACCATTCTTTTTGTAGTCTTTGACTCCCAGGGCTTCTGTTGTTAGAAGATGTTAGAAGACAGATGATCTTCGCGTCGTGTTTACGTATACGATGAACAAACGGTAAACACTCGTATTGCTACATGAGAACAGTGTTTATGTTTTAGTGTAAAATTTAGAGGAGAAAAGGGAAGTTATAAGTGGTGTGAGCCTAGTAGTTATAGGTGACGCGAGCTTGGTGTTTACAGTAAAGTAAGCCTCTTAGCATACGACAAACCAATTAGTTTGGTCAGACATCAAAACAATCAACATCTTCGCTTCACGCAGGTTCTGCGGCCGAAGACACTAAACTAGCCACTAAACTAGCCTGTGGCACTGTGACCAAGTAGTGAGAAATCTTGACAAGAAATGCTTTTCTTCAACTCTTTTGAAGGTTTTTTGTGTTTCTTTTTCTCGAGGGGGGGCTGGGAGCTGTCTTGGTTAGATGTTTTGCTAGACGATTGGTGCCTGATCCGCGCAGGCCCGCGAAAGGAGACAAATGTTCAGCTGTTCAAGTGACCAGACACTTTCTTTTGGTCTCTTTTTCCGGGTTCCACCAGGTCGAGGCACGTTTTCGTGACTTGTAAACCACTCCAATGGCTTCCGGAGCTTGCCCTTCCGGAGCTTCCCAGCTCTTGAGGTCAATCCGAGCCCGACGAACGGAAGGAGAGCAGAGCCCTGGTGGTGTCGCAGCATGGCTGACCTCATGTGTGCAGGTCGAGCTGACACTGCCATCAACCAACTAAGTAGAAGCCAAGAAACAAAGAAACTAGAAGCTACTAGGAGGCCATCGCTACTAGTCACAATAAAGCTTTGTAACTAAATATGTGTGTGTTTGTGGACACCGACCCTGCCAGCTCTCTTTTCCGAATGTGACGCTTTTCAGCTTCCCGAGGGTTCGTTGACTATCCAGTCGAAGTCTTGAAACTGAGTGAAGATCGTCAGTGCTGACTCAGGTTGGAGTCCTCAAGGATTGCTGGGATATTCATCAGTTTCGATCTCCTTTCCTTTACTGGCATATTGTTTCCAGGTATCCAACCAAGTTTTGCATGCAATTCCAGTCAGCCAGATGTCCAGAGGTGTTTACAAAGCAAACTTCGTCGCTTCCAAGTGACACCCCTGAGTTTCCGGACAAATCGGTCGCTTTTGGCTTTCGGAACTTTCCATAGACTTACTGTGGATAGACTTACCGCCCAATCGAAAGCGGGAAAGCGCTGTCCGGCTGTCCGCAACCCTGAAAAGCACCTGAGCTGATCTGAATCCAGACGGTTCAAAGCCATTCTTCTCCCCGACGGACATGACAACTCATCCCTTGAGCTCAACAGATGGCAGCAGATCAGCAGATTTAACTTCTTTTTGGTGTTTTTCTTGTCTGCTCAGGAAGGACGAGCCCTGCTTGAAGCTGCAAAAGTCCCGAGACTCCTGGGAAGACTCTTGGAGCCATCCCTGTGCTGGAGCATCTCGGCGTCAAGAAGTGCCGCTCGGAACGCGCTCGGAACGCGAGAAGAATCCCATAAGAATCCTAGAAACCGCAGTAGTTTACTTATTGTTTGAATATCCCTTCGAAGAAAGATCGAAGTGGATTCGGCCTTGAAAGGATGAATACCAACATCCGAATACGTGAACTCCACTAACCGGTGTTCGATGTCGCTCCCGTGTTTCCAGTCGCCGATTTCTTTTTCGACCGATCTGCCGCGGTTTTCGAGCTTCGAGCCTCACCGATCAGCGCGGTGCTCTCCATCCCCAATTTGCGAGATCTTTCGATCGAAAGAAAAGCAAACGGACACTGAGATTGACAGATGTTTTGTGGAATTTCACTCCACATCATAGTAACAAATGCATGGCTAATCACTAGTTACCTCGTAGCTGGCATTCGTTCAGTGGACCACCTCGGATGACCAAACAACGCTTTCCGTTGCGAAGACGGGCGTCTTCGCTTCGGCGTCCCCGAACACGGTCTTCTGCGCTTAGGCGAAGCGCAGCGATGGGAGCGCCATCTTCTGCGGGCCTTGCGATGGGTGGATCACCTTAGGACGCTTTTCGAGTTCGTTTGGTGTATCTGGAGGTCTAGGAGGGAACGTTTGACCAACTCTCAGAAGTTACGGAAGGAAGGTCCTGATTAAGCAGTGGAGACGTTTCTATGTGCAAATTCGTGGGCGGTGCCGTTCGTGCAAGTAACAGGAAGCAGGTTGGAGGCCATCGCTCTTAGGTTGGAAGCAATTGGGAACAGGAAGCTGCGAGACCCGGGCCATCGCTCCCAGTCATCCGGGATCGGTGTGTGACATATTATGTACTGTGCATATCAGTACATCCATCAGAGAGGGCGAAGTCATCAGAGCTCGCATTTTTTTTGGAGCGTTGAAGTCAAGAATCGTTCGAGTTAGTTAGACAGTGTTAGGCAGAGGTTCAACAGCTGGTAGAGACTGCTTGATTGCTTTGCCACTGAACCGCTGGTCTTTGTGACTCCATCACCGATCTTTGGTCTTGTGCTGAGCGGCAAGGAAGTCGCTTCGAGCATGAGGATTTCGAGATGCACTGTGACCTGCTTGGAAGTCCAAACAACGACAACCTAGAAACAACTTGCCTGTACCTCTCCATTTCAGGTTGTTCGTAGTCTGTGCAAAACACAACCAGCTTGCCTGAATAGCTTCTTGCCAGTGGTGGTTTTGGGGAATCGTTAGGGGTTGATGGTAGAGACTGTGAATGTTATGCAATAGATCTCAGCTTGGGGATTGGTGGGGAAAGAGCTGAGCAATCAGATCTGATGATCAGTGTATTATATCGTATTTTGTAAGGACTGCTTTTTGGCAACGAGTGCTAGTGTCCGCAGAAAAAAAAAAACCTCGTCCATTACAAGAGTCTTTCATCTCAAATCCCTCAGATGACCATGAGAAAACCGAAGATGACCCATGTCCTCGTCGTCTTTTGACTGATCACTGAGGTGAGAAGGTGGGTCACTTCGGTTGGATCGACTGATGCGGACCCCGCCGGACCCCGCCACCCGATGCTATCGGACCGTGGTCTCTTCTGCGACAAAAAGAGACGAGTGGGACTGAGCCGACCGGGGGATCCTGGTTAAACTCCAGGTGCGTCTTCTTCGGGTGGTCAGAGTGGAGTCTCCTTTTCGTCATTTTGCAAGTCTTTTTTGGAAGCTATCGGTTGCAGGAAGTTCAATCGTTGTTGTACCAGAGCAGTCATGATGTCAACATTTCAGGCCTCAAGAGTGCTATCTTTTGGATTCCTCATCTCTGGACATGTAGAATTTTCTCCGGCGTTCAATTGCAAAGGACATCCTTTCGGTACTTAAACCCCAAGCCGCCGAGTCGAGTTCGGTGGTTCTTCAGCTGCTTCACAGCTTCGCAATGCAAGGGTGCCGAGCAGATGCCCTGCGTGGACACCTTGAAGCAGATCTTTAGGTGTGCCGATGGGAACCGCGGACAGCTGGTGCGGATGGGTCTCTGATGGTGAGTGGGTTGGTTGATTGGTAGGGCATGAGTCCTTCCGGAGTTCCGGAGAAGGAGGGGGAAGGGCAAAACCAACCTGTGCAGTGTCGTTCGGACTTCGCCCAGGATGTTTTGGAGTCCATACCTGTTCAAACACATATCGCTTGAGGAGCTATCAATTTCAGCTTTTGGTTGACCTTTCAGAAGCCAATTCGAAGAAAGCATAGGACGCTTGAAAAGGGTCTAAGGAGCAGTAGTGATGCTGATGAAGGCGACCAAGTGTTGAGTTTTGTAAGGGAAGGGCGGGAGAGCTTACACAGAGCTGAAGTGACCCACCATTTGTTCACTCTTTCCGAAAGATCGGAGAAGTCTTCAGCCGATTCAGCTGGTCTGATTCCCCAACCCTGAAGGCCCTGAGGCTCATTCCCATGCCTCATCCTTGACCTCAACTCCCAGTTGTGCAGAGCATACCTGTTCAGTGGACAAACTTGTTACAACAACTCTACACAGTTCCACCCGGATGCAGAGCACGACTTCGTCACGAGCCGGCGCTTCGACGCAGCGATCCAGAAGTCTTCGCACCGATCCACAAGACACCGGAAGGGGCCGCAACTGCCGCTACATGGAGTTGAAATCATGGGGTTCCGGTGGAGTTCTAAAGCACCGACCCAACAGGTCGGTACGATTTCATGGATGTCGAACCGATTTCGCATGGAGTTCCTCTCCCAGGACACCTCTCTATCCACAGTCCCATTGCGTCGAGCTTCGCCTACGCTCGTCTCCAAGTCCTCGGGGCTTCCCGCTCGTCAGTTTGGCCTACGATCGCCTCACCCTGGCGGGCGAGAGGCCGGAGCCGAGACCGGAACCAGCCACGGGGGGGGAGGACCAAGATGTGTGGGAAGCGGTTTGAAGTGGTACTGTAACAGGTTTTTTCTCACTTTAAATCCGTTGACTCACACATCTCACACACGAAACAAAGCATATTTGCTTCAAACAAGACCCAAGCGTTTGTCTAGTGCCCGACTTTCTTGGACTCAAATCACCGATCTGTGGTGAACTGGGCGGGGTTGTGCCAGTGCCTCTGCTCCAGAGCGAAGCAGACGATATCTTTCGTTTTGTTCTCCCCGAAGTCTGGCTTTCATGGGCCGCAGTTGCAGGGAGCTTTTGAGTTGATTGATCGGGTGCACTTCGAGCATCGTTTCAAGCAGGGTTTCAGCATCCCTGAGGTGAAACGGCTAAAGCGATTGTGAAGACAAACAACATGACCAAGGTCAGAACTGACAAAAGGTTCAAAGCTGGCACTCATCGCTGAAGCCTGGGATGAGGATTCTAACAAGCCAGTGTGTCAGATGCTGTGGTTCCAGAAACATTTACATGTTTTTTTTTTCCAGCTCTTCCTGTAGCACCAATCAATGAAGGACCGTTTGCCACCATTTGCCACCGATTTCTCATCAAACATCACGACTCCGGCCGACAACGTTAGCGGCTACCGTTAGCGGTGTGTCTAGCCATTTTATGCTGCTCAAGAAGCGAAACGCGCTGAACACGCACGCCGTAGCGCGTTGCGACCCATCATGGTGTTGGATGCTCAAAGGTTCAAGGACCCCAATGTGACCAATGTAACCAAGTGACCAGTCGTGATGTAGACGAGGATCCTCAAATGTTTGCTGATTGCAACTTGCTGTTTGAATTGCATGGTCAAGTTGGCATTCGATTCAGACATTATCCTGACATATCCTGACTGTCAATATAGTATATTTATATGCCTAAAGCCATCGGGCTGTCCTGGTGCAAAGCTTGAGTGGCGACCTTTCTTAGACTGTGTGGCTTCCGCCCGAGCACACAGGTACATCGAACAAGCCTCTAAGAACAAATGCACATAGCCGGACCCTCAATCCTGGCTTCCAGAACCACCAAGCAAAACCGGAGATGCTGGTAGATTCGTAGGGTTTTGGTCGTCTCTAGATGACCGACAGACCAGGCAAAGATCTGGACAGCAATTGAAAGAAAGCTGAAGACTCCATTCATTGCCCCTTTGATCATGAACCGAGACATGGAAAGCGAACATATTGTAGAAGAATGGTCTTGAGAAGGTGTATGTTCCATGTCTATGCCAAATGATATGACCAGTAGCGCAACTGGTCTTCTGGAAGAAATCTTGATTGAATCCTTCTTCTTTCATGAAACCACTAGTAGGAATGCCTCCAATTCTGCGCGAGGATCATTGCTTGATCATTGTGGGCGTTGGCGGCAAGGCCGATGAGATCTTGGCCAAGCGGCGCTTGGCCGCGGGCGGGCGCCTGGCGCACTTCATGACTCAGGGCCCGATGGATGTGAGGGTGACTCAGCAGTCTGTGGAGGACCGCGGGAAGAAGTCGAGGTGATGGAACTGGGGGATGTAGCTGCGAAAGACCCATGAGCTGACCAAATCGGTTTGGGTTGGCCGGTGATTCTCTAGACATGATCCAAGTCTTGTACTTCTAGATGTCCAGATGACTGAGACAAAAAACAGTGGCAGAGATTTCGTCCCCCTTGGTGATGAGATATTTCGTCCCTCTTGAGATTCCGTGACAGATTCAGCCCCTATGGTTTGCCGCCTGTTCGTTTGCGAGCGTGGAGGATGGGAGCGAGTTTGACTTCTTCACTTGGCAGCCTGGTTTTCGATGTGAAGAGACTGGATGGGGGTTCGGAAGTAAGAACGCTCCGAGTAGCGATGCCAGGAGCCCCGAACGTAGCGTCCTCTTGTTCCTAGTAGGTTCGGAAGTTGGAGGTTCGATGTTGAAGGGTCTCAAAGGTTCGCCTGGATATATAAACTCTCGGCCAAAAAAGACATGCGCAGGGGTAGGTTTGCAGGCACCTTCTCGAAAGAAAGACGGGGCGCCCCATCCATCGGAGAAAAGCACACCAAGAATCATTGAGGAGAAGTGTTTTGCACATGCCCTGGGGAGATTGGGTGGGATGCTCCATGCCAAATCACCCATCATATTTGCATCTCAGGAGGTGTCCCGGAAGCATCTGCCGTCCCCAGGCAGCCACCGCCCGCCAGCATGGGCATCTCCAAGTTTGCGCAGAAGCTCCAGGGAAAGCCCCGGACCTATTGGACGAAGAATGGCTGCTCGACGGGGAACGGCGCGGGTTTCAGAGCGTCCGTCGTGAACTCCACACAAAGGATGCGTACTTCCCGAGGTTTCACATCTACGGAACCTCGGAGCGACCGGACGCTACGAACGGGGCTCCTGGCCTTACTACGAACGGAGCGATCGAACGCTACGAACGGAGCCGAACTCTGGAAACGGAACCTCGGAGCCGAACTCTCTCCGTGGCAGACTCCAAGTGTTCGTGGCACTGGACTCGTCTTTCATAGGGAGTGGAACTTGTTGGTTGATCCGGAACTTGTCGTCTTGGGCTGTAGACATCCAGTCTACAAGTGGTTGGTGGTTGTCCAATGTGTTGGATTAGTGGATGACTTTCCTCTCCCCATCTGCCCCATCTCTCGCCCGTTGATTCATCAAACCCATTTTACTTCCGATGTCTTTTGTTCGAACAGGTTCCAAGGCACTGGCGGATCGGAACGTTCTACAGATTGTACAGACCCAGGGAAGAAAGAGCCTTCGGATCGGGATCTGCACAAAGCAACCGCGTGTGCCATCCCAAGTTCACAGTGTTTACCTTGGTTCGCTGGGTTCACAATCATGGACCATGGGGCAGCGAGGTCCAGATGGCATCATGCTTCAAGATGATCATCGCTTGAACCTCCTCACCGGCGTGGACGGGAAACTTCGACATTTAACCCTGACGAATGATGAGGGCGTTGTCTTGGTGGAGATGTCCGGCGAGATTGTGGTGGACGTCGACCCTCGGACCATTCCATTCCGGCGCCGCCTTTTCGCATCGCCGTCAGCACGAGTGGCTGTCAATTTGATCTAACGAACAAATAGGAGAGCTGCACTGAGCATAGGGTCACCAGAGTGGGCAAACCTGTCTCCAAGGATAGGTTTTCTTATGTTTTCTTGACTGTGGCTACCACTTGTTACATGATCGTCAAATATGGACAATTTGCAGGCCACGCCATTTGCCAAGATGGTCCCGTACATTGGACTTTCTGCTTTGCCTAGTGGATGCTACCAACCTTGATTCAACAAACGGCAAACTCTAGCGAAACACATAGCAACCTCCATCGAAACCGCCGTAGAGGTGTTTCAAAAGATTCTCGCGGCCTCAAGTCCACACGACTTTGGGCTTTCCGTGCTCCAAGAGAGAACTACATGCCCGCAGATGCCTCCCTGTCCACATCCAAATGTGGGAGGCGGTAAACATCCACATCGGATCCGAATCCATCCCTTGAGACCGCTGTTCCGTTCCAGGTGTCCTCAGGTGACCCAGGTGCTCTGCTGTCTTTGACCGGTCCAGGTGTTCACTCTCTTTTTTTAACAGGGTGTCCGGTCGCCAAAGCTTCAGGATGAGCATACGGCGAAGGTCTTTGAGGTCGACGTGCAAAACCCGGAGATCAATTCCTTCGGAAGCCTCTTGGACCGATCGACTCCGCGCAGGATCCGCGTTCGCTGGGTCCGCAGCAGGTCTGTTCGGTTGCGAGGTCTTGACTGCACGCGCCAACTAGCGGTTAGGGATGCTATAGGGTTAGGCCTGGTGAGGCATGTTGAACACACGGGTTACAGATGATTTTGGTTCTTCTTGACTGTGGAAAGATAGACCGCAAAGTATACAACGGGGGCCATGGCATGTTCCTTTAGGGATTCCATTTGATCGATGCGACCAGAAGCGGAATGGAGCCGAAGCTAGGCTCCCGCGCCTGGCCGAAAACCGATGGTCAAAGACAGGTCATGACCTGCACCGAAGACAAAGGCGAACAAAAGGCCTACTGGTTGGTACCTGAAATCTGTTCTTCTTCCTCTTCATGTTGTCCTTGTCCCGTCCTCCACTTCTTCGCCAACCGTTTCTATCCTTCACGCTTCTTCTGCCCCCCCCCAAAACGTCGGCCATTCCACCTCAACCTCCAGTTCCGCGTGTCGCGCTGCGCCGCACGTCGCGCCGAACGCCGTGCTTGGCCGAGGCTTTTCGTGGCGCTTCGTTCGCCTCGCCTTGGCAATCCAACTGCTGTGGCAGGTGTCGGGCGGGGCGCGTCTTCCGGTCGGACCTGAGTCGACGCGTCACAGACGGGACGTGACAGCTCTCCCCGTGCAACAGCTCTCCGCGTTACCATCGTTAACGGCGCGCAAACCCGGCATGGAGAGCCGGTGACGCTGCATATACCGGGGTGAACCAGTCGGTTTTGTGCCCTCCCCTTTTTTGATTTTGCGCCAACAGTGCCAACTCCTTGGGGGAGAGTTGAGCAATGCCCGAGAGGTTGTGACAAAGTGCAACATAACGTTTCACTCTTAGAGCAGGTTCGGACAACAAGCTTGGCAAGTCGATTCTTTCAGATGACACGGTCTGGAAGCTGCCATAGCCCTGCCCAGTGTTGCTGTGAACTACACCTCCCGAACGTGCCCTGACGTGCGCGGTCTCCTCGCAAGTTGCGAGACCATCTCAGCAATTTTTTCGGTGAAGTTCGTTCTGATAGACTTCTTAGACATGCACCAACTAGTTGCTTCTTTTTCAACGAACCACACCTGCACCCCAAAGTAAGACCAACACCAGAACCGGAGACTCCCCTTCCTCTTTCGGACCGCTTCGGACGGCTCCGGATCGATCATCGTTAGGTGGCAAAGCTGTCCTTATCCATCTCCTTTGAGCAAGACGCGGTGCTGGGGAAGATCCCGTGGTACCGCAACCTCTTGTCGGCCCTGAACTGGACCCTCACAGGCGCGATTGTTCGTGCCGCGGAGGGGATCTGTCGGGGATTCGACGGGGCGGACGAAAGAAGGGAGAAAAGCAGCAGGCAGAAAGGAACGTCGAAGAAGCGGGTCTATGACATAGGAGATCATAGGAGTCATAAGATGTCATAAGGTTCAATTTACAATAGTAACCCCCCCTCCCCCCTTTGATCTATTTTTTGGAGGTCAAACATCTCAATCTCAATCGTACATTTCCAGGCCATGTGCTTTCATTTTGCTTTCATTTGCTTTCATTCTGCTTTCATGTGCTTTCATTTTGCTTTCATTGTGCTTTCATTTGCTTTCAGGGGGTTGATTATTGTGGTTTGTTTGCAGGAGGTGGAGATTTTCCTTTAGGACTGCCAGAGATTTCTGACACAATTAAAAGAGGAAGCATTCTGAAGGCAAATTAATTGGGATCTGAGAGAAAAAAGCTGACGATTATTGTCTCATGTTTACAATTGACACGCCAAAATTTATATCCATTCTGGGGTCTGGATGTTGGCGCAATTAAAAGTATATTGCAAAATCTTGGCAGGCCAAAAAAGCTGTTTATTATTGACTCATGGTTTATGACGGTAAATTCAACATTACAGGAGTTGAACTCTGAAGGCTTTCTCTGCACAACTTCACCACTTCGGAACCTTCACCTGGATCTCGAGAACAGATCGGGAGTTGATTTTGGACTTCGCAAAATGGCTGTAGATACACTGGGTTCCATGTCATTGTTATCACAAAAAGGACAATATAGAAAACACACCATTTGAGCAGGTGTTTGGAACATTCTTTTGGACAAATATCACCCACTATAACACAACATACATAATACACGCACTATATTTTTGAAGATCTTTTGGAACGAACTTCAGTCCCAAGATGGAGCCCCTGGCAGGACAACTCGTGTGTACTGAGATGTGGTCCTACAGCCTCACGGGCGAGCCCGCTTCGGGACAGACCCACGTGGTGGCGAACTTGTCGGCCACCGTGGGGATCATGGCGGTGACCTATTTCCAGTTCTCGGACGCTGGGAGCGACCGTGCGTTCGGAGGTGTCGCGATGGGAGAAGACGCAGTGCCGTGGGGCGGGACTGATTTGGGAAGACACGTCGACTGCGACACGTTCTGCGAATGATCGCCGGCAAACAAAAACGTTTGTGCAGGACACCATTAGCATCCATTAGCTATTGACGCACGAATGCCGTGGCCGCTAAACTATTTTGAGCACATCAGGGGGGGGTTGTGGATAAATCGGATGAACTTCTCTACTTCGAGCCCAACACCGGAAGCACATGGAGTGGTCCCTCGTGGGGGGGCTTCTCATCCTCGAGAAAAGAGGCGAACGTGCCAGAGAACGAAATCGATTCATCAAGGGCCCACTCATCATTGGTTTGCGAGTTTCTTTAGGCATCTCACCAGTGGCATCCAGTGGGGGCGGGGCGCCAAACCACTTGATGTGCTCAGGAGTTCGTCCTTTGCCTAGTTGGAGTGGCTTGGAGTTGGACCGGTGACGAAGAGACCCTGATGGGCCTCACGAAGCTCGGGTGGGCTGGGGATGTCGCGAATTGCAGATGCAGGAACCAAATCTCGATTTCGAGATCTTAAAGTTTTTGATTTGATTAGGGAGGATTTTTGCGTCACAGAAAAAACCCACAGAGGGTGATCATCCCCTTGACACGACCCAAAGAATTGATTCTTGGCGTCACCGTCCGGTGACCCGTCTCTCGCCGTCCGGTGACCCGAGATGAGATAACATGAGCCACCCTGAAAACTTGGGGTCAAGCCGGTCAAGCTGTGATTTGGGAGAGACTGCGGATGTGGCAATCATCCCCCCCTGAAAACATCAGCGTTGGGGTGATAACACCGAAGAACTTAGGAACGGCAAGCTGCACAAATGAGCGGTACTTGAGTTGTGTGAGTTTGGTCATCCGAAGTGATTCGCACCTCATCAACTTACCTCACCAACTCCGGCGAATTATGACAAGCTGGATCATCGACAAAGGATGTGCGGTCCAGACAGATCAGACTACAGCTTCCCCATCATAGAAACCTTCTCCTAGGCCATCTTTGCATTGGTGGCGCCGCTTCTCCAGTACTACAACACCATGGACAGCCATCCAGATCGACGCATGTTCCCTCACGCCGCCTGGACCTTCGCACAGTTTTGCGGCACCTGCGGATGCGCCTCGGCAGGAACCGCGGATGGTTGGAGGACCAAACTCCTGAACACCCAACAGGAGGGACGGATGGTTCCAAGAGAACCGCGCCCGTCCCCGAAATGGGAGCCTTTTTCATTGATGTTGCGAGAAACCGGGCCTTGGAGACCACAGTTTCATGTTGAATTAGATAAGCAACCGCACAACCTATGAGAGCTGCACATCGGGAAGATGACTCTGCTGGAACTGGACGGGATTCTCTCGTCGCCTGAAAAGGACGTCCACTTTGACTCGGTTTTGAGTACCCTCTCTTGACTCGGTTCATGGTTGAGTTGAGTGGAGCGAGTGAACACCACCTGAAACAGGTCTTCGAAAAACTCATGGTCCTCCCAAACTCGGGACCATCCACTAAGGAAGAATTCAGACTGAGCCTGTGAGTATCGTTACAATCTGTATCAATCTATGATCTCTACAATCTGCAAGTATCCTTTCCTTTCGGAGAATAGCTTGAACATGATCCAGGTTGGAATAGAAGCACATCATTCTCAAGCTGCACATGCATCTTCATTGAACAGACGCCTTAACGGGCCTGATGCAATGCCCTAACGCCCCATGTCCAAACAAATCTCCAGTTCTCCCCTAGCTGGGCCAAGCTACATCAGATGCTAGGCTTTACCATCTTCGGCATCATCGGACAAGTCTATTCCCTCCTTTTGGAGAGTGGGCAGACGACGGCCGCATCCTTCTTACTTCCTTGTGGGACAGCCCTCGGAGAGACGGGCATGGTGATTTTCACCCGCGGCCGGGCAGCAGGGTCATCGGCGCTGGCGTCAAACTGAGTCGAAAGAAGTGATGAGGGTCTCGGGGTAGCGAGTAGGCACGTGGAACTTCGGGGAAGCTCCAAAAGCATCATGCCTCCTCCGCCACTTCGAGAGTGTCCCTAATTAATTTCAAAACTTTCTAGATGTTATAGATGCCCCTCTTTGGGTTATAGTGAACCTGTACCAGATGGAAGACCAAACTGGAAGACCATGAAAACACTTTACTCCCCGACACTGGGGAAGTCTTGTAGGCGATCGCCTGCGCCGGGAATGGCCTCTGGGGAAGGCCATTGATGGCCGGCAGATCCTTTGAACGTGGAGTGGCACGGGTTCTGCTAGTAAGGCACTTGTTACTAGTAGCGATGCACTCGTTACTACTAGTGTGGCACTTGTTACTAATTGCTTCTTGTTACTACTAGCGTGGCACTTTGTTCCTAGTAGCTTCTTGCTCCTAGCTCTTCATTTGTGGCTTTCACATTTGACCACATTTGACCACATCCGATTTACACCTGAGTGATTCTGATCGCCATTTTTCCACCTTTGGGTGCGCATGGTGACCCAAAAGGCTTCGGTGGAGGTGTGGACGGGCGGAGGGTTTGGTTTGACTCGCTCAGCCGAGGAGTGGCCTACAACTGGCTGGTCCACACCAAGCCACTCAAAATCGAAGACGTGCGCTCAAGAAACGCGTTCTTCGTGCGGTGTTGAAGACCCATTGGTTGCGGCGAGCGAGGTCTCGAAGACGGTTGGCGGTTTTCCTGATACATAGCCATGTTTGAATGATGTCCATGTGGCAGACAGAGAAGTTCATGGAACAACCAGCAGATAGGTTCCGATATTGATATTCTCTGGCTGGGAAGACTCTAGCGCCCCCCCCTCGCTGTTCTTGTGCTTCTTGCCGTTCGACATTGGCCCTCCTCAGGGGCGATCCTTTCCCGCCTTCCTCCGTCCGCAATTGAGGAAAGTGGATGGCCAGGGCCCTTTGGCGGGTGATCAGATTTACGTGGCGGCGCCCTGCTTGATCATGTCCGCGCATGGCTTCGCCGAAGCTTGCCGCTTGGCCGCCACCCTGGCGGGCGCCATCAACAGCGGCGGCTTTGCATGGGTGCCCACGACCTGCTTGGGAGTGACTGGGTCGACCAATAAAGCACCTTAAGGAACCTTAAGGAACCTAAGAGCGATGGCCTCCAACCTAATAAGAGGAATGGCCTCCACCCTAGTAGAAATTGGATTCCAACCTACTAGCGTTGTACACGTTTACGTGCATTCGTGTCAATTCCTTTGACAATTTTACTTTTTGAATTCCCACTATTGAAGCATGGCAATAACTTGAATGCGCCCCCGACTGCAGCCATAAAGATGTACCTTTTTTGGTAGAGGTCCCTACTCATCATCATCCCCACTGCATTATTCTGTTCTTTGATTCTGCTGGTTGGAGATGTAGTAGGGCCCTTCTTGAAGCCATACCCCACCCTCGGAAGGCAAAACACGGTAAATCCACATAGAGATCTGCAATAAACAGAGTGAAGCCCTGAGCTTCTGCCTCAAGTGAGGAGATTGGCAAGCCGATCAAATCTGTTCCCCAAAGTCAGCGCATACAACTACATACTCTGGTACAACGTGATTTCCCCGCAGAGTAATGGTGTCACGTTGACTGGCAGTCCGTGTGGTCGTTTCTCCGGCAAATCCCAACATAGAACAAATAGAACACTGGAACAGTTGGTGCGCGCCAACAAAAAGCACAAGTGCAGAGGGGGTTCCACACCACCCCAAAAAAAGCTGTTCAGAAAGGCAAACTCCACAGTGCCAACAAAAACAACAAACAAGTGCAACAACAAAATGAGACCAAAAGCTGCCCAGAAAAAACACGGTGCCAACAAAAAACACATAAAAACACCATGGTTTGTG